CCCGCAGGGTCCAGGTGGGCACACGCCRCTTCTGTTCTCTTTAGCCTTTCTGCTGCAGTGCAGAGGGCACACAGTGAGTTCCATCCTACAGTTTCTCTTATCCCATAGCCCCTTCCACCTGCTCACCCTTCCTGTCCTAGAGGAAATTGCCACCAACTGCTGGAGAACTCCTGCCTCCCCATCCCCTCTCAGAATGTGGCATGGCACACTTTTTTTTCATAAACCTCACTCCAGGATGTTCCACTGCTAAATCTTTCCTTTTCCCAAACCCTCTTAAGTCCCCATGACCCTCCTTTCCCTGCCAGAAAACTAAAAGTCCAGGACTTCTCTATGTTGAGCCCTCGGCCTGGTCATGCCAACCTACTCCCAGCAGCCAGCTGACTCTCTTGCATGGCCAGCTGTATCCGCCCTATGGGAGGTTTGCAGATTTGTCCTTCCACCCTCCCACACTTCTGCRTGTTCTGTGCTCTTGCACTGCCCATTAGAGATCAGAGTGGCAAAGGTACAAGTGTTGTTCCTTGCTCTGTGTGAAGTGTTCCTGGGGCTGAACTCCAGGCCGTGCTCTRTGGGTTTGGTARTCACCTTTTCCCTCTCTCTTTTTGTTCCTGTGCTGCGGTTTCAGATCTTCGGTGAAGCAAGTCCACTCAATATTGTATTGAAACTCAACCAGCTGATTTCTTTGTTGTCTTCTATTGAAGAAAAGGTAGAATTTTCAAGCTACTTTATATCATCTTCTTTGTCATCTTTCACCTCTAGTTATGCTTCTTATTCATAATCAATGTAGTGCTCTGCCATAGTAAAATGGTTCTGATTTCATTACTCTCAATGTAGTGCAGAATCCCCAAATGCAATAAATTACACATAATCCTTTTATAGGTGAAAACACTGTTGATTGAAGGTCCTGATTCAACACACCGGCGCTCCCTAATCCCCCCTGTCACTTTTGAGGTAAATGTACTTCTTTAATGACACTGATCATAATGTGGAAGGACACTAACGCAAGTTTATGTCAGTATCTCAGCTCCTGGGAAGTTTGCTATACTGCCACAGYGAATAACAGCTATTCCTGGATGCTGTTTAGCACCATGAAAATGACTAAGAGATGCCCAGTGAGACTTSCATAATGATACGTGTCCAGGAATTCAGGGAAGTGCTGCATTTGTAATATATGTGACTGAAGCGTAGAAGGTCCCTCATGGAAAACCTCTCTGTGTTTCACTAGGTGAAAGCTGACTCCCTAGGAATTTTCTCAAAAATACAACTCAAAGTGGATGTGGAAATGGGAAAACTGATTATCAAGAGATCTAAGGATGGTCCAGAAGACAAGTTTTATAGCCACAAGAAAAGTAAGATGTCAGCATAGTGTCACGAATGCTGGACTAGACCCTGGGACCCTGGATGATGGGGAGGGTTCCCTTCAGCTCCACTCAGAGCAAGGTTTGGCCCACAGGGCAGAGAATTCTGCTAGATCCCGAGTGCTGCATGAGCACCAGGCAGAAAGACAGACATCTCAGCTTTCACAGATTGTTTTAGACCTTAATGAAAACATTGGAATCAGCACTGCAAGGGAGCAGTTTTTGGTAGAAGAGTCCCCATAGAGCTAATTGCAGTGAAACTATTTTTCTTCTGAAAAGTAATATCATTTGAAAAAAAAATCAAAAACCCCAGCATTCTATAGGAGCATGCTTACTTTTGTGATGATTTCTGATGGTAAAAAGCCAGACACTCAGTTTCAGTAGCATATTCCAGTGAATTTCCCTTGACTTTTTTTTGTACGTAGATCGTTATCTCTCACCCTGAGCAATGCCAGTTCAGTCTATGATTGCCTGATTCAGATAACTTCCCTTTTTTCTGTTGTCTTTCTGAACAGGCAGCTCACKGAGGTTGAGCCAAAGAGATTTATCAGAGAGTAGATGATGTTCTTGGGCTCTGTCTTGGTAAAAAATCAACCTGTTTCCAGCAGTGATTTAGAGGATGAGCTTTCATGCATGGCCTTCTCTACCTGGTGTTCATAATTACTTGCTGCTATTTTAGATGCGAGGAATCACTTTTACCACCAAATGAGATCCTATATCCTCTTTCCCAGATGGGGAAGGAACACATATAGGCTGGCTCAGGACACAGGGAGATTGCCTGCACAAAGTCARGGCTTCATATCAAACTGCAAGGCTTGGGATGGAAAAGAACTCCAGGCAGAAGAGTTTTGGAGGTCCTCTTTACTTGGAGTCCAAATCTGTTCCTGTTCAGAACAGGATTAAGCAACATTAAAACACAGGTGTGCAGGGCAAAGTGAGCTTCAGACAGAAAAGACAATATAAATGCCAAGCCTTTGAGCAGGGTTCTGTTCATTTTGGTAGGACCCTTATTTCAGTGACTGCAACTCATGACACCCAGCCTCTGTTCAGTCTTGCAGCTCATCAAGTCCCAGAAGCTTCCAAACAAGCTGGTGATTGTTCTGGAAACAGAAAAAGAAAAAACACAGCGGAAAGAATATATTTTTTCTGATTCCAAGGTAGATGCATGGTGTTTCTTTCCTTTCAGCCTGGAGCTGGTACGTGGGTGGGAGTGGCACCTGGGGCATTCCTTGATAGAAACTGTTGAAGAACAGTAGTTGGCTTTGCAAAAATTCAATTTCTCCTTTGTTCTGGAAACACCCAGAAAATGAATGAGTGTACTGTGTAGAGGGAGAGGCTGGACACCTAAGTGCTGTCACTGAGGCAGGAGGACAGAGCAAGTGAGGAGAGGCAAGGAGTTGAGATGGCAGCTGTGAAAATGTTCATATAGACAAATGGGGAGGAAAAGACTTTCTTCTGACAAACTCAGCCTTTGTTAAAGCATGCACAAGCTAAATGCCTAAAAAAGTACCACAGGAAAGACAGCCTCTTGGAAGGTTTCAGGATAGTGTGGAGCTAATCTGCCCTTGAAGTGTACTGGGAATTTCCTGGTTCACCTGGTTTTTCAAGAGATTGTGTTGGAGGAGTTAATGATCTCATTAATTTTCTTTGTCCTTCCTTGTCTAGAAGAGAGAAGGGTTCTGCCAGCTTCTGCAGCAGATGAAGAATAAACACTCGGAGCAACCAGAGCCGGATATGATCACCATCTTCATTGGGACATGGAATATGGGTATGGGCTCCCTTCWGCCATGGGCATTCCTTCAGAGACTGCCAAAAGGTGTGCTCAGCTGGCATGATGAGCTCTAGACACTGTGTGTTGCATTGCAGGTCTGTACACCAGGGCTGACCTCCCCTTGGGACAGCGGAAGAACTGATATCTAGACTTATTCTTTCATATGGTTAGACATTTCTTATGGCTCCAGTCAAAGGACCATGAAATTGTCCCTGTTGGGTATTGAAGATTGCTCCAGTGGCAGGGAATTGTGGCTGGCACAAAACTGKTGCAGCAGTGCACATCATCCTCCACCTTGCAGAAAGGACAGGAGAAATTCCACAAGCTGCACATCAGCTGCTCTGATTTGTCTAGGGATAGTGTATGTCCAGCCTGGAAAGACAGCTGAGTGTCTGTGGTACTTAGAGAAGGGGACAGCCTGTAGTTGAGGACAGTGGAGAGAAGCCTGGTTTGGCTGCTGTGAGCTGAATTGTCTGTGCTTGGACATCCTTAAGGAATAAGGTCAAGGCAATGGCAGGCCAAGAGGAGTACAGCTCCCTGCCTTTACCCATGGCTAGCCTTGGCCTTGGAAAGTTAATGAACCAGAGGAAGGTGGTCAAGGCAGAGTCACTCCTTTGTCGGTGACTCGGGTGGGGGTAACATCATTGTCATCTTATGATAGTGAGCCCTGGCTGATATGAGATGTGAAGCCCACAATTTCTGTCCCCATGTATTATCTGCATCCTGGTTTTGACATAACATGCTCTGACTTTGGTGTTTGACGTGTTACTAAAAGGTGCAGCCCCAGCCCCAAAGAAGATCACCTCCTGGTTCCTCTCCAAGGGGCAGGGGAAGACTCGTGATGACACTGCTGACTACATCCCTCATGACATCTATGTGATTGGCACCCAGGAGGACCCCCAGGGGGAGAAGGAATGGCTGGAGACTCTTAGGCAATCTCTTCAGGAAATCACCAGTATTAGCTTCAAAGTGGTGAGAGGTTATTCCAGCTGTTGCATGGAACACAGAGAGATGAGGGGCATACACCCTGTGCAAATAAAAAAGATGGGAATAAGTGGGATTTTGCCTACACCTCTGCCCCTTGCCTCCCACTGCATTTGGGTGAGGGAGAGTGAACTGAATGTGTCTGTGGGCTCTCCTGGAGCTTGCTAGATGGGCCTGTTGCTATGGTCAATGACTCCCCTACTKCCAAAGTAAGGACTCTGCCTGCTGAGGAGCAAGGGGAGATGTTGAGCACTGGAGTCAAGTGCTGGTGTTATTTTGACTTTCAAAAAGGAGGAGGCTGTAAAACTTCCTGAGCCTAGACCTCACCCTAGGCTATTGCACTTTCAGAGTAGGATGCAACAGTACACAGGCAGAGTCATAAGAGAAACTGAACCTTATTAAGACCAGCTTTGGACATTCCTGAGTTTCAGTGATGTCAAGAAACAAGCCTAAGCATATTTGGAAAGCCATAAGAATTCTAACTCTCATGGTGATTGGGAAACTATTTTGCCCAAGCAAGACAATCTAAAGATTAACTAGAAAAAACGACTAGAAAATAGCAAGATAYTTCCTCCCAGCATTGATTAAAATAACTGAAAATATATCCTGAGCACAGCAAGAAAACATCTCTAGAAGGGCTACTGAAGCAGTCAGGAAGGCTGCACCCACAGTGCAGCTTGCAGGTATTTGCAGAAATGTAACCTCTACCATTTCCATCCCGGCAGATAGCCATCCATACCCTCTGGAATATCAGGATTGTTGTCCTGGCCAAGCCAGAACACGAGAACCGCATCAGCCACATCTGCACAGCCAATGTGAAGACAGGCATCGCCAACACACTGGGTGAGGCACAAGCAGGTCYTGCCCAGAGGACTGTGATCTGCTCAAACCACATGGAGCAGCTCTTCTTCAACAACCCTCTTTGGGCAACATTCATGTGACACTGCTAAATTTATATCCTGCTTGCACTGGTTGTATCTTACCCTGTAAGAGAGGAAAATTATTTGTGTGTATACTTAGTACACATGCACATATATACATATATTCCCAGCAAACACTTTTGACTGGCTATTGGATTCCTCTTTCTGAGATTTCACAAGGAAATTGCACTTCTCTCCCTTCAAATAATTTTTTAGCACCCTTAAAAATTTGTTCCCACAATCTGTGCTGTATACACTAATTACTTCTGTGCTGATTAAGTCAATTTCTCTTCTCCATCCTCCACTTCACAGTGCTAGGTGCTTTATTATCTTTGCTAGACTGAGCCTGGAGGTGGATTGTTTTTTGACATTTTTGGCTTCTCTTTTGCCAGGTAATAAAGGAGCAGTTGGGGTGTCATTCATGTTTAATGGAACCTCCTTTGGGTTTGTTAACAGCCATTTGACTTCAGGAAGTGAAAAGAAACACAGGTAAGATGGTTCCTCCCCTCTCAAAAATGGCAGTTGACCCAGAGTGAAATTCTTTGGGCCATGATTGGGAGGAGGACTCACCAGACAGGCACAAATATGTTTCCCTGACCATAAAAAAATTGTTTAATGTTYCCTGGGAAGGCATTTAAACAAGGGACTTCTGATATGTGGCCATACCAMATCAGTGCAGAGGAAATGGAAAGCAAAATCATTTCAGAACCAAGTGCAAAAGTCTCACAAAACACTTGTGTGACCTGTCGTGAAAGCCCACTGCATGAGGAAAACCGTCCCTGATCTACAGTGTTTTGGAGAAATGTGGGAAGGCTTTTCCCATCACAAAATAAGGCACTGAAGGGGATTGTCTTCAACCTCACTGTAGGCAGTGCTGTGAGCACAGCTGAGAAAGATCCCTCAGGAATACCAAAAGGGAGGTGTAGCACAGGAATATCCCCACAATGGCTCATTCTCTACACCCAGCTATGAAATGAGTGTTCCTGARTTAGGCAGGTTCTGCTCAGCACAGGACTGGAATGCAAAGATCCTGACACCAGTGGGAGATCTGTGTCCCCACTGGGAGGAGCTGGAGCAGTCGGAAGGAACGGTTTCGAAAGCGAAGAGGACTTGAAGAGTTTGGCTTTGTCATCTTTCCCAGTCCAGGAAACAGATGGTGTGGGATTTCTGCAGTGTCTTTGTGTGGGATTTCTACAGGGTCTTTGCCACTGATGGAGTTAACTTCTATGGAAGGGATTCCCCAGGGCCTGGAAAAGCTGCCAAAATCTAGTTATGTGTTTGCTACTGAAATGTGAAAGTAACAATCTATTGCTGGGTTTCTAGGACACATAGCTCAGAAAAGCACAGCCCCAGGAGGCAGCAGAAGTGGCTTCAGGAGCACATTCTCTGGCCTGTCTGTTGGCGTGCCAAGTTCTCAGTTTCTGATCTGCTCCTCTGTAGCCGCTGAGCTGGAGCAGCTCCCACTTGGTAAAGCTGTAGCCTCTGCCATCCCAGGCATTTGGAAATTACACAGCAATTTAGGATGTCAGGAAGGTATTTCTTGTCTTGACAGACGCAACCAGAACTACACGAACATCCTCCGCTTCCTGACACTGGGAGATAAGAAACTGAGTCCATTTAACATCACTCATCGCTTTACTCACCTTTTCTGGCTGGGAGATTTGAACTACCGTGTGGAACAGCCCCCGACGGTGCGGGATGTTGCGAGAAGCCCTGCAGGGACAGCACACTCTGTTACTATAGGAGTACTCTCTTCTTCCAGTCTAGGACAACATGGCAAAAACAGGGGAGACAAAAGGGAATCCCAGGGTGTGAGTGTGGCCCTAGCTGAGGGAGAGTAAGGAAATCCCCTTTGCCTTCTCCGAAGATTAATGGATCCAGGAATGCCGTCTGGTGCACTTTATTGCTTCAAGCAGCCTCAGTTCCCCAAACCTCTCAGCTTTCTTTCCCACTGTGGACAAGTATCTGTCCCTGAACAGCTCAGCAGACTTTCTGCTCTATTTGCTGAGCTTGGAATGGTTCAAACAGGTCTTCAGAATCAGCCGGGCCATCACAAATACTAGATAGGTTTCAGTAGGTGGGAGAAAACACCAAGCCTGGTGTTGGATGTGCATGTGGTTGTGAGTGTGTGTGTTCTTGTGTAGGGGATGTAYGGATATTTTGATACCTGTTTTGATAGACAATTTTTCAGCCACAGAGCAAAGGCTAGGGCTTTTCAGTGAAGGGAAGGGTGGAGAAGTGGCAGGGGGTACAGCTCTGTCAAACAGTTCAGGAGCGCTCACCAGTTTACCAGTAAAGGGAGTATTTATAAGAAGGTTTTGCATCATCTGCTGCTCTCTGTTTCCCTGTTGGCAGGAAGCAGAGAATATTATCCAGAAGATCAGGCAGCAGCAGTATTCGGAGCTACTGGCTTTCGACCAGCTTCTCCTCGAGAGAAGAGACCAAAAAGTGTTCCTGCAGTTTGGTGAGGTCCTGTGCTGGCTGGCAGGTTCCTCTGCCACATCCATCAGCTTTCTCTCCCAGCCCCAGTGCGGGGCAGGGTGCACAGGGCAGTGGCTCTCTTGGCAGGTGAGAGTTCCCAATGACCAAGGTRTAACAGAGTTCTTTCCCTGCTTTAGAGGAAGAGGAGATTACTTTTGCTCCAACCTACCGCTTTGAGAGAGGCACCCGGGAGAAGTACGCTTACACCAAGCAAAAAGCTACAGGGGTAGGTGAAAACTGATTTCCCTTCAGAG